ATTAGACTCTATTCAAGAGAGTCTGTTCTATTGGCTTTCAAAAGCCAATAGAATAAAAGGGAGTAGCACAGCCAAGGAAAAGGGGGAAAAAATGGCGGACTGCATTGTTTGGCGACCCTCGTGAAATGGTCATTCGACCCCAAATGGGGTCCCGACCCACAGGTTGAGAACCACTGGTCTAAATAAAGATGAAATTCATTTTTTCCCCTGCAGTCATCCAGAGGGAGGGGACCCGCAAAGGGCTGGAAAACAGGAGATTTGCTGCATGAAGCTTAACCATGAGCTTCCTCAGCGTTGGAGCAGGGAGAATTCAGTTTTTGCCAGATGGCAGGGGAATTTCCAGTTTGTAGCACTAAGCTAGCAGGAGGGTGCTCCAGTTTTACATTGTTTACATTTTCTCTTCCCTAATTTAAGAAAACATGTCACCGCCAATGGGATCGCTTACTTGCATCTGTGCGCTTCTGACTCGGTTTGCTTCGGGGATTCAGAAACCCCAAACAAAACGGGGGAAATGCTTAGCCTTTTGCAAAGATCTTGGATCTCCCCCCCCCGTTCCCTTCAGGTGGGAGATGAAAGAAGGGAATTGGGGGCTTATTGGAAAGCATCAGGTGCAGCCCCCACCTCTTCTCCCAGCCCCTGCCAGGGTCCGTGGCCGGCTGGCCTTCTTGAGTGGATATTGTGCTTTCATCCAGAGGCCAATTCTTCCGTTTCTGGATTCTTCTCATGCTTGTCTTCCTCATCCCCGCTGACAGGTAGTCCTTGACTTACCTTCTTTCATTTAGTGACCGTTTGAAGTTACCGTAGCACTGAAAAAGGTGACTTATGACAAATTTTCTCACTTGTGACCATTGCAGCATCCCGCACAGTTACGTGATCAAAATTCAGATGCTTGGCAACTGACTCATATTTATGACGGTCGCAGCATCCCTGGGATCATGTGATCCCCTTTTGCAACCTTCTGACAAGCAAAGTCAATGGGGGAAGCTGGATTCACTTAGCAACCGTGTTACTAACTTAACAGCTACGGTGATTCACTTAACGGCTGTGACAAGAAAGGTCGTAAAATGGGGCAAAACTCACTTAACAGCTCTCTCATTTAGCAACAGGATCTTTGGGCTCAGTTGTGTTTATAAGTCGAGGACCACCTGTAATCATATTTAGATCTTCACTCTATGGCAATCATGAGAGAAAATTCAGGTTGGTCTTCAAGCTTCCTAACATGTTCTGATCACCCCTGAAATTAAATCCACCCAGTTTGCTGCTGGTGAAATATTCAGGATATTATGTGATCTTTGCCCAATCTCTTAAATCTCCTTTCTCATCTGAGAACGCTTGAGGTCTCCCTTTGGGACGACGGCCCTGGCAGGGAACCCAAATGAAATTGTTTCTGACCAGTGCCACCATCCCATTCATTTTATTGAAAGAAACCTTCTTCAAAAATTAAACTGGCAGGTGCCAAGGCTGCGAGAGCCACAGGCCCTTTCCCGGCTTTAGAAGTCTCCTCTCTGAAAGAAAGACTTTGTTTCATTTTATGAAGGAGTTTCTGGCCAAGAAGAAGGGATCCACTGAAACTATTGAATGCCGGATCGTGTCTGGAAATGCATTATTGGCCCATCCAGGGTGGTGCTCTTTAGATTTCTTTTTGTTTGGGGCAGAGGTAGGCAACCTTGGCTCTTTTATGACTGGTGGACTTCAACTCCCAGAATTCCTGAGCCAGCCTGGCTCAGCTTGGAAGCCTCTCCCTTTCCCCTCAGCATGGCTGGCTCAGGAATTCTGGGAGTTGAAGTCCATGAGTCCTAAAAGAGCCAAGGTTGCCTACCCCTGGTTTGGGGGAACATTAGCAATTAGAACGGGGGGGGGCAGAGTTGCTGAAAAGCTGCTTCTAAAGAGCTTTGGCTAAGCAGTCTCAACTGCTTGCCAGTCCCAGCAGAGAAAAATAAAAGTTGTTTTTTCAGAAGCGAGGCGCCATGATTGGTCATGCCCAGTTATAAAGGAGAGCGAAGGGACAAAGGGAAAACAGAAGTGGTGCTTTATTCCTCAGTTGTAACTGTTACTGTGTTGTGATGTGAATTGCCTTTCCTCCTACAGATGATTAAGGAAGATTGCTTTTTTCTTTTTGAAAAGAAAGATTGAACTTGCCATCTCTTGAACCGAAAGAAAGAAAAAAATCAGTTGGGGAACACAAGTTAGAAGCAAGAAATTTTAGAAGAGCGTAAGGGGCAACCGTGAACCTCGGCTTTTGGGTGACTGTGATTTTTGGCAAGGAAAAATGGTTCTTGGCACTCCCTTTTGGCCCACGGGAGTCCGGTTTGGCTCCTGCTGCCTGTTTATGGGGCCCCCGCCAAGTCTTTCCTCCCATATTTCTTTCTTTGGTGCAGCTGGGCTTTTGATCTTGCTTTAATTCACACAAACATGGGTTGACCTTCACACAAACCCACCTGCTGACAGGGCCTGCAAACTGTATGAGTGTTTTGGTGCCCCAGGATCTCAGAGTGAACTCACTTTCGACCACTGGGCTGTTTTTGTTTTGAAAGAGAGAAGATTGGGGGAAAAATGCAGCTTAGCAAATAAATATTTGCAATATATAACCCCAGATTGGTAGAGTCAAGTGTAAGCCCAAACTGCAGGTCAGATAAGATAAAGCTGGGGATGGAAGCTGCCCATAACTTCAAGGAAGCTTGTGGTGGGAAAGGTTTTCTGCAGATCAGAAAAAAAAATAAAATAGCAGAGTTGGAAGGGACCTTGGAGGTCTTCTAGTCCAACCCCCCGCTCAAGCAGGAAATCCTGTTCCATTTCAGACAAATGGTTGTCCAATCACTTCTTAAAAAGCTGCAGTGATGGAGCACTCACAACTTCTGGAGGCAAGTCGTTCCACTGATTAATTGTTCTCACTGTCAGGAAATTTCTCCTTGGTTCTCTCCTTGATTAGTTTCCATCCACTGCTTCCTGTCCTGCCTTTGGGTGCTTTGGAGAATAGGTTGCCCCCCTCCTCTTTGTGACAACCCCTCAGATATTGGAAGATTGCCCTATGGCACCCCTAGTTCTTCTTTTCACTAGACTAGACGTACCCAATTCCAGCAACCGTCTTCATATGTTTTAGCTTCCGGTCCCCTAATCATCTTTGTTGCTCTTCTCTGCACACTTTCAGTAAAACCAACCAATCTTCTTTCCTTCCTTCCTTCCTTCCTTCCTTCCTTCCTTCCTTCCTTCCTTCCTTCCTTCCTTCCTTCCTTCCTTCCTTCCTTCCTTCCAATTTGCTTCTCCATTTTACAGGACTTTTTGTCCCACCTTGCCTCTTGGCTTCTGGGGTTTCTTGCTGCTTTTTTGTATTCTTTTCATAGGAATCGTTGGGATTGCTTCCCCCCCCCCCATACATAACCAGATAAGCGCATGCAACATAACACAAGCATGTTTGTACATGGGTTCATGCATGCTGGCGATTCATTTGTCCTTTGCATGAAATCAAGTGAGCTTTAGTGCAAGGTTGGTAAATCTGAAGATCATTTTGGATCATTTTCGAAATGGTTTTGTAGGAAGGCAACACAGAACTGGCCTTCATTTGAACTGCGTATTTTTTTAACCTGGGTCTTTTCTGAAAGCAGCCATGCGTGAAGGAGGATGTCTCCAGCCAGCGGTTAAGCAAAATTAGTTTTTCAGTAAGAAGGCAACAGATTGCTCTGCTTCTTTATCAATTAATAATGATAAAGCCCAGGGTGTGTTGGAATTACTGGTAGAAAGCTGCAGGAGGGAGAAAAACCAGACATGTTATCTTAACCAATGCCCACTAAAGCTTTATGGAGTAACAGAAGGAGAGAACCTTCTATCTAGGCCAGTGGTTCTCAACCTTTTTAATGCCGCGACCCCCAACCGGTCGTAAGTCGAGGACTACTCAACCGGTGCAGCACCGTTTGCAGACTGGGACTTTTGGTGGGCTCAGCAGGACAGAGACAGCCTGGACAATTCCTATTGGCTTTTGAAAGCCAATAGAATTAGACTCTATTCAAGAGAGTCTATTCTATGGGCTTTCAAAAGCCAATAGAATAAAAGGGAGTAGCACAGCTAAGGAGAAGGGGGGAAAAATGGAGGACTGCGTTGTTTGGTGACCCCCGTGAAATGGTCGTTCGACCCCAAATGGGGTCCTGACCCACAGGTTGAGAACCACTGATCTAGGACAGGGGTCCTCAACTTTGGCAACTTTAAGACTTGTAGACTTCAACTCCCAGAATTCCTCAGCCAGCTTTGCTGGGAGTTGAAGTCCACAAGTCTTAAAGTTGCCAAGGTTGAAGACCCCTGATCTAGGAGAACTACAGTAACCATTCTTGTACGCCTGATATCGCATTGCAGTGCAAGGTGCGTCTGAGGTTCAAATAAATCCAGTAAATCCTGCAGCAAATCCGCCACAGTGGTCCATGCAGGTAGTCCTCGACTCACAGTCCTTCATTTAGTGACCCTTTGAAGTCACCGCGGCACTGAAAAAAGTGACTTGGGACCATTTTTCATACTTACAACCCTTGCAGCGTCCCCACGGTCACGTGACCAAAATTCAGACGCTTGGCAACTGGCTTGCATTTACAACGGTCGCAGCGTCTCTCTGGGGTCACGTGATTCCCCCCTTTTGCGAACTTCTGACAAGCAAAGTCCACGGGGGAGCCGGATTTCACCTAACGACCGTGTCACTCACTTAACAACTGCAGTGATTCGCTTAACAACTGTGTCAAGTGGGGCAATAGCTCACTGAACAAATATCTTGCTTAGCAACAAAAAAATTGGGGCTCCATTGTGGTCATAAGTTGAGGACTAACCGCACAGCTGTTTTGCAACACGCACCCTGCTGTGCCCGGAAGCGTGGATGGAGAGGCTCCCCCCCCCGCTCTTTCTTCACCGTGTCCACTGCTTCCCCCCCCCTTGCCTGTACGTGGCCGGCCGGCCTCCTCCGCCATCCTGCGAGGGCAGCTGAACACCTGTGCGCTCTCTTGGTCTCCCCTCCCCTCCCCTTCCAGGGCCACCTCTCGGAGGGCCTCGTGACCAAGTGGTACCGGTCTCCCCGCCTGCTCCTCTCGCCCGACAACTACACCAAGGCCATCGACCTCTGGGCGGCTGGCTGCATCCTGGCCGAGATGCTTACCGGAAAGATGCTTTTTGCTGGTAAGTCTTTTCTTTTAATCTTAATTCTTTTTTATCAATACTCTTGGCTCCCCGATGGAGCTTTAAACACTCTGGCAGCTTTCTTTTTGTGCCCTTTCTTTCTTTAAAGGCCCGTCTAGGGAAGAAGTGCCCAGGTTGTTTTTTTTTTTCTTTTTTCCTCCTCTTTTTCATCTCTAAAATGGGCATGGTCTGTAGATTCTGATAAACATCTGGATATCCAATTTGGGTTATGGGGAAAAATAAGTTTCTGGTCCTCATTAGCTGAGAAATACAGGCAATCCTCAACTTACAACTGCAACTCAGCCCACAATTTTTGTGGTTAACTGAGACATTTGTTAAAGGGAGGTTTGCCCCATTCTATGACCTTTCCTGCCACAATTGCTAAGTGAATCACTGCAGTTGATAAATTAGTAGTCCAGTTGTTCAGTGAATCTGGCTTCCCCGTTGTCTTTCCTTGTGAGAAAGTCACAAAAGGGGGCCTTGAGACAGAGCAGCCGTCACAAGCATGAACCAGTTGCCGAGCGTCTGAATTTTGATCATGTGATCATGGGGATGCTGCAAAGGTCGTAACTATGAAAAACGGTCATAAGTCACATTTTTCAGTGCCGTTGTAACTTTGAACAGTCACAAAACGAGCTGTGGTAAGTCACGGCTCCCTGTACAGGTGGTCTTCGGCTTATAATCACAAATGGGGCCGGAATTTCCATTGCAAAGCAGGGCGGTTATTAAGTGAGTTGCACCCAATTTTACAACTTTTTCTGCAGAATCGCTGCTCCTGTTTATTTATAAAGCTTACAGGCTGCCCACCTCACCTCAATACTTGCACGATCTTTGAGCCAACCCAGCCTCCCTGATTGACTTTACAGGTCAGAAGCTGGCCGGGACGGTTGCAGGTGTTGATTATGGGATACTGGGACAGTGCGGCCATCGTAGATGCATGGTGGTTGCCAAGCGCAAGGCTTTTCAACCAGTGGTACGGGTACCACCTGTGGTACATTGGTACCTGGCAGGTGATACGCGACCATCCTAGAAAAGTGGTAGTGGGGGGAATGAGCTGAACCGGTGGCAGCACCCCACAAGCTTGAGCAAGAGATGGCTGGAGCTGCAGGGCTGTCAGGACTCAGCGGAAGTGCCAGGATCAGCGCTTTTTCAGGGTTGTCAGGGCTCAGTGGAAGCGCCAGGATCAGCACCAGGCTCCAGCTGGAGCTCAACGCTGATCCTGGTGCTTCTGCTGAGCCAGAAGAAGCGCGAATCAGCTAGAATGTTGCAGCATCTCCAGGGTCTTGTGATTTATTCAGATACTTGGCAACTGATTCATATTTATGATGGTCACAGTGTCCCAGGGTCATGTGAAGGGACCAAAACCTGCTGCAACCATCCAGCAGACGGGGGAATAAAAACCAAACACCCTCCCATCCCTGCTGCCAATCCTCAACAGAAATGCTCACAACAATGAAAACCTCGGACAGGAGGAAGAGTGCAGCCGGGTGGGCAGGCAGGTGTCTTGCTCGGCTGTGACTTGAGGGGCGTTTTTTTTCAGTGCCATTGTAACTTCAAACAGTCACTAAGCGAACTATTGTAAGTCGAGGACTACTTGTACTTTATCACTTTTTTCCTTTTTTGGGGGGGGTCATCAAGTTTTTGACATCTTGCTAGGCGACTGGTGGTCCTCGGATGTTGCCATATCCTAAAAGTGATACAATGGGTGAAAAGGTTGAAAAGCCCTGGCCAAGCGCACCAATTTCAATTGGGATTGTTTCAATGGTTGTAAGGGTGAGGAACATGCTGAAATGGTGTTCTCCACACTAGTGTGACTTTGGATGGTTGCTAAATGAATGGCTGTTAAGTCGAGGCCTGTACTTCTTCCCCCTCAGTTCTGATCTGGTATCAGTCAACGAGCAGAATATGGGGAAGGAAGCGAGGGAGGGAGGGAGGGAGGGAGGGAAGGAAGGAGGGAGGGAAGAGAGGGAGGGAGGAAGGGAGGGAGGGAGGGAGAGAAGGAAGGAAGGAGGGAGGAAGGAAAGAAGGGAGGGAAGAAAGGAAGGGAGGAAAGGAGGGGAGGGAGGGAGGGAAGACAGGGAGGAAGGGAGGGAGGGAAGGAAAGAGGGAGGGAGAGAAGAGAGGGAGGGAGGGAGGGAGGGAAGGAAGGAGGGAGGGAGAGAAGAGAGGGAGGGAGGGAGGGAGGGAGGGAGGAAGGAAGGAAGGAAGGAAGGAAGGAAGGAAGGAAGGAAGGAAGGAAGGAAGGAAGGAAGGAAGTCCTTGGGTGGGATCCCTGTGTGGGTTTTCCCTTGTGCCATCTGTGTGCTGAACACCTAATTCCCACTGTACTGTCTTATGTCTAAGGATATTTACCCATGTAGTATGGCTGTATTACTATTATCCGTCTCATCTTTTCTACCACCTTCTCCTATTGATATTTTATTTTTATATTACTTTGTTGTTTGTATGTACACTGAGAGCTTATGCACCGGAGACAAATTCGTTGTGGTGTGTCCAATCATAACTGGCCAGTAAAGCTATTCTATTCTATTCTATTCTATTCTATTCTATTCTATTCTATTCTATTCTATTCCATTCCATTCTATTTTCTATTCTATTTTCTATTCTATTTTCTATTCTATTCTATTCTATCCTATTCTATTTTCTTTTCTTTTCTATTCTATTCTATTCTATTCTATTCTATTCTATTCTATTCTATTCTATTCTATTCTATTCTATTCTATTCTATTCCATTCCATTCCATTCCATTCCATTCTATTCTATTCCATTCCATTCCATTTTCTTTTCTTTTCTATTCTTTTCTATTCTATTCCATTCCATTCCATTTTCTTTTCTATTCTATTCTATTCCATTCCATTCCATTCCATTCCATTCCATTCCATTCTATTCTATTCTATTCTATTCTGCATCCTATTCCATTCCATTTCATTCTCTCTTCATGAGAGTCATATTTGTGTCTCTGTCAGCCAGACACAAAACCCAGAAAGTCAAGGACAGGGCCTGGTAATAAGACATCACCGTGCCTAGTTTTCCACTCTGTTAATCATGATGCCTTCATTTTCCATCTGCTCAGCACCACTTTGGGAAGCATCATTATCCCTGCTGGGCAGCCAAGAGGAGCATTGCAGATTGGTGTCGCACCCTTGGATGGTTGCCCTGAGAGCTTCCTCAAACAGCTGCTTTAATCGCCCTTCCAAATAACACAGTCTCCCAGCTCTTGGATTAGTGACCACAAGAGAAGGGCGCTTTGGCTCATCAGGCCTGACTTACTCACCCTTGGACTGCAACATGGCAGAGCTTGTTAAGGTGTTGAGAGCAAGAGAGGGAGAGTCTGTGTTGTGAGCTTGCCATATGTGGCCTCCGTTGTTCCATTATGGTTAGTTCAGTTGTGCTCTGTGCTCGGTTTATGGAGATTTTCAAATATTTTGTTTTGTTAATCGTTGTTAGCTACCCAGAATCCATGTGTAAAAAGGGCGGCCATGGAAATGTTCTTACATACTGTAAATAAATAGACTAACATCATCTTCTAAAGTGATGATTTTAAGAGCCCAGGTGGTGCAGTGGTTAGAATGCAGCATTGCAGGCAAACTCTGCCCACAGCCAGGAGTTCAGTCCTGACCGGGTCAAGGTTGACTCGTCCTTCCGTCCTTCCGAGGTTGATAAAATGAGGACCCAGATTGTTGGGGGCAACAGGCTGACTCTGTAAAACGCTCAGAGACTGCTGTAAAGCACTATGGAGCAGTATATAAGTCTAAATGCTATTGCTATTTTATAAACTTCTTCCAGACAAAGAAGTTTACTACCATGCTAGAAATATTGGGTAGCAGCTGGGGAAAAAAGCCATAGATATTTATTCAGGACTTGAGTGCATTCCCTGCTGTTACTTAACAAATAAAAAAGCCCTTCGTTTTGCGGTTGGCCCAACTGTGGCTTTTGTTCTTCTTCACTGTGTTTGTTATTATTCTAAAATCTCGGTTGCTTATTTTGCCATCCTGCAAAATTTCAACACCTTGGGAAGCTCACTCAGCTTCTTTAAATAAATGATAAGGTTAATTAATAATGGATTCCATGTCCTCTTCTTCTGAAATAACCTCGCCCAGGAAGAACCGGCCATTCTCCCTCACTCAGAGAGGCGCTGGAGCCTCAGATCCAGATGGTGGGAGATGCGGAGATTTCTCCCACGCTGCAACAAACTCAGCTTCAGGCTGAGTGACTGAAAGAATATAGGCAGTCCTTGATTTACAACCTTCCATTTAGTGACCGTTCAAAGTCACAATGGCACTGAAAAAAGGGACTTGTGACCATTTTTCACACTTACAACCGTTGCAGCATCCTTACAGTCATGTGATCAAAATCCAGAGGCTTGGCCAGTGGCTCGCATTTAGGAGGGTCGCAGGGTCACGTGATCCCCTTTTGCAACCGTCTGACAAGCAAAGTCAATGGGGAAGCCAGGTTCACTTAACAACCATGTTTCTAATTTAATAACTGCAGTGATTCACTTAGCAACGGTGGCCAAAAATGTCGTAAAACGGGGCAAAATTCACTGAACCACTGTCTCGCCTAGCAACAGAAACTTTGGGCTCAAGAAAGCGAATGGTGTGAAAGGGCTCGAAGGAAGGCGGGATGGGAAGCTTTGGGAACGAAAACAGCCCGGGCCTCATAACTCTCCCTGTCTCCCTTCTCCACGCTTTCCTTTGCTTCTCCGGAGGCCCCTGGACTTCCCCGTTTTTTTCTTTGAAGACGTTTCGCTTCTCATCCAAGAAGCTTCTTCAGCTCTTTTGCACCACTCAGGAGACCCCGAGGACGCAGAGATAAACCTCCAGGCGGCCTCAACGACTCCCTAAAAGGAGGCAAATGACCAGCTGTCTGCAAGGAGTATAAATCCTTCCATTCCCCACCATCCGGTCAGAGCTGAAGAAGCTTCTTGGAGGAGAGGTGAAACGTCTTCAAGGAAAAAAACGAGAAAGTCCAGTGGCCTCTTGAAGAAGCGCCTTTGGGAC